AGCCCCTCTCCCACCCACCCTGGTGCAGGTAACCAGGTAATCCCCACCTGCATGGTGACAGGGAGCTCAAACCTTCATTGGGGAAAAAAAAAAATCAATGACTGATGTGGGAAATTTCCATGTGGAAAAGTCAGCTTGGGTGGGGCTTTTTAAGCAAAGAAGGGAAGCAGAAAATACAGATTTATTACATTTTTTATGTTTTCTCAAATCAAAAAAAATAAAAATATAAAAAATATACAATATAAAAAATAAAAAATAAAAATTAAAAATGTTAAAAATATATATTAAAAATATATAATTATAAAAACCAAAATCTTAAAATTCCAGCATTCTGCTTTGAGCCAACAAGGGCCAAACAGCCAAACTAAAAGGGCAAAACTGCAATGCAGGCAAACAGAAGATTTTCTCCCATTCTTTAGATTTTTTTTCTTTTCTCTCTTATTTTCCCCCTTTTGCCCAATCCCTCTGGGTCCCCAGCACAGCCACACTGCCATGTTGGGGTGCCGTGCACCCCACCAGCTGGGAGCAGCAAGGGCATTTTGGGGCAAGGAGCTGCTTACAGGTGAGGATGGTGGGCATGAGGGCAGCAAACATGAGGAAGAGCATGGAGAAGAAGAGGAAGCCGGTGTTGTTGAAGACCTTGCCCGCGTCGTTGCCGATGTGCAGGTAGAGCAGCCCGATGAGCACCCCGATGCAGATGTGGGACATGAACCGCAGGTGGGTCAGCACCTGCAGGCACAGGGGGGCTCAGAAAGGTGGGGCTGCACCCCAAAAACATCTCAAGGGAGAGGCAGGCAGCCCATGTCACTCCTTGTTGCTGCCAGCCCCCAACAGAGCCCGAGCCCTGGCCCAGCCTCCCTTGTCCTCACCGTGTCCCTTAGGATGCAGATGAAAGTTCTCTTGAAGAGGATGCAGAACTGAGTTGAGGTGCTGGTGGCAAATGTGTGGCTCTCGATGTGATCCACATCCTGCAAGACCACGGGGACAAGGGTTGGGTTCACAGCACGGGGGCCCTGCAGGCACAGGAGGCTCCCCTGAGCCCCACTCACCGTCCCACATGTTGGGCACGATGAATCTGCCTTGTCAGGGCTGCTCTTCTTCTCAGCCATGGTGCACATCCCGTTCTGGACGGCGCGGAACAGGACGGGGTTGAGGTCCCCATACTCTCCTGAGGCCACCTCGATGACTGTGGAGGAGGACAGGACCCCTGAGAGGTGCTGAGCCAACAGCACCTAATGGGAAGGGCACAGGGGGCAACCTGGGGGCAACCTGGGCAGCCCCCAGGGCTTGGGCACTGGGTCTGGACCTTGCCACCCTCTGCTGGGGACACTCACTGAAGTCAGCAGGGTTGTGGTATGTGGGGCAGTGGAGGCCAAGGCCCTTCAGGTAGGGGATGAGGTTGGTCACGACGCCCTTGAAGATGCACTGGCCCTGGCTGAGGATGTAGAGCTGCAGGAGAAAGCTGGGATGTGGCAGGTGCAGAGCAGCCAGGGCATTGTCACCCTCTCCTGCCCACCTCCCTGTCACAGGGTGACACAGGCCACCCTTGCCAGACCCCGGCTACACAAGCCCCAGGTCAAATGGCCTGCAGCCCTCCCCTCCCATGGCTTCTCTTCTGGGTCTTGGGGCCAGAGGGATCCTGTCCCAGCCCAAACCTTGTCAAACATCTCGAAGAGCTTGGCGCTGGGCTGGTGGATGGTGCAGATGATGGTGCGCCCGCCCTGAGCCAGGGACCGCATCAGGGACACCACTTGGAAGCAGGAGGCACTGTCCAGGCCGCTGTGGCCACCCAGGATGGGGTGGAGGAGAAGGAGAAAGCAGAGAGAGAAGGGGAGATGTGAGGGAAGGAGAAGAACATCTTAAAGATGCCCCCACTTGCCTCCCCTTGTGAGCACCCTCCCCTCAGATCGAGGCAGAAGAGCATCAGCCCCAGGGGTACAGTCCCACCCCATGCTCAGGTGGGCACCAGAGGGTTCTGACCACGCCAGCAGGGGCAGCCCAGCTGGGCAGGCAGTGCTGGGAGCCCCTGTGGCCTCACCTGGTGGGCTCATCGAAGAACATGACGGGTGGATTGTTGACCAGCTCCAGGGCGATGGCCAGGCGCTTGCGCTGGCCCCCCGACAGGGAGCTGGTGCGGGTGTACGAGCACTCCAGCAGCCCCAGGGCCGTCAGGATCTCATTCACCTGGGGACAGCCAAGGGTTTTCATGGACTCTCACCCCATCCCTGCCACCTCCCTTCACCCTGCTCCCCTTGTCCCCATCCTGGGGAGACATGAGGGGTCTGGGGCCGCTCTCCTCAGCACTTACCAGCTCCTTCTTCACCTCCTGCTTCTCACTCAGCTTCAGGTTAGCAGAGACCTGCAGGGAGAGGATGGCCAGGGAGACACGACTGTCAGATGTGGGGACCAGAACTGGCTGCACCGTGTTTCCACCCCTGTGTGCTCAGGGTGAAGGGAGCACGGGCAGCAGGATTTTGTTCCTGTGTCCCAGAGCTCTTGGAAATGCCTGATGTCAGTGTGGGCTCAGTGCCCACAGGATGCAGAGCTCACCATCATGGCCTCGAGCACGGTGAGGTGTGGCAGGAGCATGTCATCCTGCATGATGTAGCAGGACATCTTGCGGAAGGTGCGCAGGTCCCGCGGCCGCCCGTTCACCAGGATCTGCCCCTTCATCCCAGTCTCCCTGCAGGAAGGAGTTGTGGGGGAATGCAGCACAGCCCTGCACCCCCAGCCCCCCTGGTGCCCCCCAGCCTCACCTGTAGCCAGCCAGGATGTTCATTAGAGTGGATTTCCCAGCTCCCGAGGGGCCCATGATCCCAATGAGCTCCCGTTGGCAGAACTTCCCTGACAGGCATTTGAGGAGAGTCTTGTACCCTGGAGGGAGAGAGCAGCAGGGGTTTGGCTTCCCAGGGCAGCGGTGCTGGAGGGATTTCGATGCCATCCCAGCACCTGGAGCACCTCAGGACCTCCACGTGCCGTGCCAGGAGCTGTGTGTGCCTGGAGGTGTCTCCATCAGCATCCCCAGGGCTGTCACCACAGCAGCTGTCACCTCCAGCATGATCCCTGCCCCTGGTCCTTGGCTGATCCCACTGATTCCCAGTGCTGAAGAAGCTCCTGACCTGGATCGCAGCAAAGACCAGGGAAATCCCCGGGTCAGGTCTCAGAGCCGCTAAGGAAGATTACCAGGCTGTGACACTTGTCCTGGGCACGTCTTCAGATGCTGATCCCCAAGGCCAGGGGGGAGGGACAGCGCCGAGCAGGGCAGCACGGGGCAGGCAGAATTCCCAATCCGGCTGCTGCCTTCATTGGCATTCACGCTGTGGCACCCGGCAGCAGCCACTGCTAATCAGACCTGGAATTATCTCTGCTTTAAACGCGGCTGATTAGCATTTTCTGGCAGAAGGAACATGATGTGTCGGGAGGAAGGAACAAGCACAGCCTCAGGCTGTCGGGAGCTGCCCCTGAAATGGAGCCCTGGCTGGACAGCAACGGGAGAGGGGGGTGATAACACCACGGACCATCCCCTCTGTGGGGATGTCCCCTCTGTGCCCCGCGGGGACAGCCGCTGTGGGGCAAGGACAACAAACCCCAGCTGGGACAACCCCAGGGACAGACCAGGGTGGCATCTCACAGGGGGCTCCCTGTGGTTTGTCCATCCCCCGGGAATGTCATCCACGAGCGCCCCGTTCCTCCTGCGCCCCTCTCGGGGTCCGGAGCCCCGCAGCAGGAGGGGGTCCCGCGGGCAGA